AATACACAGTTTTTATTTTAATGAAAGTTTTAAATTTTCTTTGAATTTTGTCAAGAGTCAAAGTTTGAAAAGTCAATGTGACACCCCAAACTCGTATTCGGGTCGGATACTGGTTGAGGGTGTTACAAGGCACACCAAGCTTAGATACAAAAAGCCTAAATAATAAAGTGTCCAACCTAGAAAGCACATGAACATGAGCTATAGCACTACAATATAAAAACTATATGATTCAAGGGAGTGCTAACATGACAAAAAGAAAATCAAACGTTCAATATAAGAAAAAAATTAAAGAAAATAACAGACCTTGTTGCCAATGTAACCCATTACACCAACACCAACAGTAGACACCTTCAAGTTCTGAATATGCCTGCGCAAACTCCTACGAACCCATATAGTGAGGAAAATTCCTACCATCTGCTTACTTACAATTCTTACATATGATGATCTTCTTTTCCGCTTCGTGAGGGTTTCAAGATCAAGTTCTGCAAGCAAAGCTATCCCAGATGACCTATGACCCATATCATTTATGGACTTGAAGGAACTATATGCTCTAAAAGACTTTGTTGCTCTGAAAGAACTTGGTCTGTCCAAAATATTCTGAGATAGAAAGTATAGTGGAGGCCCTTGACAACTCAAACCAATCCTTTCAGTACCACTAAGCATTCTTGTTAATTTTCTATTTTGTTGACAGGCTGAATCTTCTACATTTTCTGCACAATCCTGCGTCCGCAAGCAATACAATCCATCTAACATCTTTGGTGAAGAAAATTGCCTCTTTAAATCCTGTTCTACATCTGTACAAAATTTAGTGGCATCATTACTGCATGAAACCCCACAACTGCTGAACACACGTTTACTTTCGGTTGAATTATTAACTTCATCAAAACCATTTGGGTCTTCATCCAATGGATAAATTTCTTCACCAATATCCCTTTCACTTCTGAGAATTATCTCCTCCTCTAACTTGGGAACATCATCAAATGGCTTAAACTTTGTTGGAGATGAGGGATCACTATAGCATTTTACTTTGGTAGTTGCAGGTCGGATTCTATCAAGTGTTTCACGAATGATGTTTTCCCACTTTGGAACAGGGCTATTATCTTCAGCGCCAAAAATATTGCCAGCATGTAATGGTACTAACTCCTGAAAACTGAGTATAAAGCAATTATCATACTTTCTGAAGAACATGAATAACGCAAAAACAAAATTCAGGGATAATTGCTAAAAGAAAGATGTACCAAATTCTCAATCTGACATGTATAAATACAGTTGTTCTAAGGTCAAGTAATAAAAACATGAAAGCTATCCCAAAAACTTTTCACGTAAACATTGCTTGAAATTAGAGTCCAATAAGAAAAGAAAATCAGCTTTAATTGAAGAAAGTTCAAAATGCATATAGGGAAAACACTTACCCTAACACATAGATGTCGGCAGACTCATTTATACTTAACCAATCATCAATATCTAGGTCATCAGGTGGAACCTTTCCACCAACATTCCAGGTACCAACGCATATTCTATTAATTAAAAAGGAAAAACAAGTTTCAACAACAAATCAATAACCAAATTGGTTTGTGTCACCAAAATTACTACTAGTTTAAGATTTACTTGTCAAAGCCACAAAGGAGAGGCACTGCACCTTAATTCCTTTGTGCTTATATATTGTGCCCTAAAAGTCTCTGAATTCCGTCTACTTGACCTCGGAAGACCATCTGAGCTCAAAAAGAAGGAAAAAGCTCGTAACTATTCAAAGAGAAGAAATTGATAAAGCTATTCATCTTACTCCCTAAATTGGATATTCACACAAGCCAAAAAAGATTGAAGTTAGAATTTCAAAGTTAAGGAGACTGATTGCAGGGATATCTGATGAAAACTTAACAAGAGGGAGAAAAGGTGCTCTCCAGAAAATTTCACTGACATGTAGTGTACCTGGCAAATTAATTTCACGGCAATTGGAAGGTGATTTGCTTGTAAATAATAAAATTATAAGGGGCAAAACCCAAAAATAACAAGGAACGCCTCCAAAACTAGCTTAGATGCTACAGGATAGCTCCATTTCCTTGTGACCTACGATTTCCTCTTAAGGATTATTAGAAAAGTGCATACAAATAGATAGCATCCCATGAAAAGAAAGGGAAGAAGAGAGCTATATGCAATCCAAGAAACCAACACCTAACAAATCTAAAAATCCCTCAACACCTAACTCCTTCGCCTTAATCTAGCCAGCCTTATTAACCATATTTCATTAGATGCACAAACAGCTATCAGCTGAAGGGACTAATTAAGCCTTTTACTAAATCATCAACTATTTTATGTTGGAAGGAAATACCAAACACAATGTCACAACTAACAATCATTTCAATCTGGTTGCATCATGAACCACTAGGTCATACAAACGAAGTTTAAACTTCACCAGAGCCACAATCAAGATTGACGATCCAAAATTTTGGACTAGATGATCCTCATGTATAAAGAACTCTTTGACAGCAACTTAAATTTCCAAACGTTCCAGCATTATTTTTGTAGCCAAAATGGTTTTTATTTGCTCACACAGAAGATATAGGCATAGCAAGTCAAAAACGTCAACTTTGATAAGGAATTAAACTCATTACCAATTAGATCGCGCTGAGGGTCCTCCTCTCTAATCCCTCTAAACCTTGACCCAACGTCATTGCTACGTTCAAAAAATTCTGCAAAACCCTTTACATATAGACTCAAACAAAAAGCAGTCCCTAAAACCAACTCTAGAACACATAAAAACCACAAAAAATTCTCAAATTTCCCAGAAAACTGGGGAAAAATCCAAGACATGAGAGAAGGGGTCAGAAGGAAGATGGTGAGATCACCTTTGGTATCATAATCCAAATCAATGTCCTCTTCATCATCTGTATCGGCACTGTAATCAGAATCTCTAGGATCGATGTTGAGCAACTTCCGCATGACAACTCGAGGCCAAAGGAGCTGCAGGCAGGAGCAACCGAAACAGCAGATTTCAACCCAACTTCTCTGCAAGTTCTCTCTTATTTATACCATAATTAATCACAAACTCACAAAACGAAAACGAAAACCAGCAGAAGAAAAATAGAGGAAGAGAAAGCAGAGAAACAGGAAAAAAGTACCTCCGATCGGGGCTTCGAGCCTTGTTTCATCTCTGTGCACACAGGAAATGAAAAGAAATTAAGAGATCAAGGAAGAAGAAGAAGAAAAGCAATGGAAGCCAAAGTCTACTTTGGGAAAGAATAGACAAAGAAGTTACAGTGGCATAGAACTTATCTAAGTTCTACACATTAATTACTTAAATCTTGATTTGGGATGTTAATTTAAAGAATTAATGACTACCCATTACTCAATAACACCATAAAAAATCACGATGAAGTTAATAATTACGGTAAACCACACTAATAGTCACTAAATTTAAGTAAGTTTCCGTTTTTCTTATTAAACTTTCAATAGTTATAAATTAGTCACTAACATTTATCAATTTGTAACGGTTACTCAGCCATTATTCATGATAAATTAATGACGTGACAACGTAAATAAAAAGCTAATATTTAATTTTACACCTAAATTATTAGTAAAACATTAAATATATCTTTAAATAATAATTTTATATCTAATTTACCTCAAACACTTTATAATTTTCAATTTTTTTTTAAATATCTGCCACCACCACCACGCTATTTCTCCCCTCCCCGCCTCTCTCACCTCATCGGTTGCCGAGTCATCGTCCCAAAAAAGGAAGTAGAATCAGTCTCGTCCCAGACACTCAATTTTCCATCAATCTCTTATTTATATACATCCCTTACCTTCCATTTTCCCTTTCCAAATTACTCTCATATCCTTAATTTTTCCCCTTTTCCCTTTGCATTCACTACCTCTCTACAAATTCCCCACAAATCTTCCAACAAAAATGTCAGCAACCGATTACCACGCCTCCTTCTTGGGTCGAATCAACATACGGCGAAACCAAGTCATCGTCATGGACGGTAACCACGAACAAGAGCTCGAAGACCTCTAACTCTTCTCGAAGCACGTCGTCGAGCGTTTCACTGAGCTCTTATCACCTCTTGATGACATCCCTTTCGATACATTTCTCTCAATTTCATGGCTATGCAAGCTCATCGATGTTTTTCTCTGTTGTGAAGCTGAATTCAAGGTTGTTCTCTTAATAGGTAATGACCCATTTCTGATCTCTATATTCCATCTCAATCGCTTGATCCCTCAACTTTTAGACCGATTCGTCAAGGCTTTGAACCTTTGTAATGCGGTCACCAGCAGGCTGGAGTCGGTCAAGCATTACCAAAAATTTGTCGAGATTGTTGCATTGGTGTCGGAACAGAAACCAATCGTGACGAACAAACGAGGAGAGCTAACGTTGATCACCAGAGCGAGGTCGAGGAGTTCATTAAAAATTAATCTCCAAATTCTTCAACAAGCGATACTATTAATGAGCATACTTCAGAATTTAAGAGGCTCAAAGAGAGATATTGAACTTTGGCATCCAAACAATTTGTCATTGGTCCATAGGACTTTCTTCTTCTTGCAATTTAAGGAAGATCCAAAAGATTATATATTAAATGGAAGTGGAACATAGGAGGTTGTCTTCCCTGAAGAATACGTTTACCAATGGCAATCAAATGGTCGAAAATGGCTTTGGTAGCTCATGAGGTGAAAGAGGCGGGGAGGGGAGGAATAAGTTGGTGGCGAGCATTTGAAATAAATTGAAAACTAGACGGCGTTTGAAGTAAATTAGATATGAAATCATTGTTTAAGAACATATTTGACATTTTAATAATAGTTTAGGAGTAAAATTAAATATTAACTTTTTTATTCACGTTTTCACATGATCAATTTAACGATGATGACGGTGGAGTGATCATTTTGTTATAATTGATAACGTTAGTGACCAATTTGTAACTTTTGAAAGTTTAGTAGAAAAAACAAAAACTTACTCGAACTTAATTATGTATTTTATTTTCATAAGTTATAATCAATTCAGCTTTTCCTTTTTGGCACCGATTCGTCACTAACTAAATTTCAGTCTCTTTAAATAGGTGATGTATTCATAGGAGTAAATCCTATTATTTGTATATTTCAGTCTCCTTCACCACTGACACAACTCAATTAATCCTATTATTTGTATATTTCAGTCTTTTCCCGTTTCGTTTAGCAATTCCAGGAAGATGATCTCTTTAGCAATGGCTTCATCTGTTTGTCTTCCTCCAAAGATATCATCCCCAAGTGAGATGGGTCCTCCAACATCATTTTCGCCACTAAATATCCCGCTATTGACCATGTCTGATACTTCCTAGCCTGTTTACCTATATATCTCCCGACTTTCCCATCATAATACTCCGGCCAGCTGTCTTTCAACAAACGTGTCTCGGCAAGATCGATCGCACGTCTTGCGATCAGCGGCCTTCCCGTTTTGATGCAAGCAGCCGTTAACATCCACAAAAGTACTGCATTGAAAGCAGTGGATAATTGCAGGATGGCAGATAGGGAAAATTATAAACACTAAAAAATAAAATATGAATGCAAAAGTCAGTCATGAATGTTAAGGGTTTCGGGTTTACATCCTAACAGCCACTAATTCCAACAAGCAAGGTGATAATGCACTTGTCGGTATCCATGCAACAAATTAATTCCCTTATAAGATCAAAAGCACTTAAGTGAAGATAGAATAGGGAGTGGTGGCCTTACCTGGCCATGATCCTCCATTGTGATAACTCCATCTTGTATTCTTAGGGTCACAACCAGTGACAATTCGCCATTCATGACTCTCTATTGCAGGGTAAGCGATTTTTAGAGGCATTTCTCCAACAAGCTCATCCCAGCGGGCTTCGATAAGGTCCATAATAGCCATTGATTGCTCAGGAGTTGCAAGAGAAGATAGAATTGCTATACAGTTACCTAAACAAAACCATCGGAAATCCATCCTTGCGGGACTAACATTGCCAATAAAGTAACCACCACGTGTTGGCATGAAATCGAATACCCAGTCTGGGATAGAATCAGGAATAACATTGAACTTATTTACCGCAGTGTGAGAATACTCCTCGGTTTTGTATCTGTAGATATCATTTAGTTGTTGGAAGTCGAGCCAAAAGTAACTGCGCATGTGATAACTCAAGGCATGCAAGCGCTTCACAATTCTTTCAATGCATTCTTTTCCTTCAGCATCATGCTTCAGCATTGACAAAGCACACCGCAATGCCATAAAGAAAAGAGCTTGAATTTCAATAGGATAACCATAAATACCCTGTAAAATAAGTTCACACCATTATTTGAACATGCAGCTAAGAGTCCTTGGTTTGGCCTCAAAGAGGGACAAGGCAACGTGACAAAAGAAAACTATCGATTCTCGTTACCCCTATTTGACTCGTTTATTAGAAAAGGAAACTTAGAAATTAAGGTATCATAAAAGTTTAAACACTAATATAGAATGCATAAAGCAAATTAACTTCCCAAGTATTTAATTTGCATATGTCACAAAATAAGGCTACAAGTTTGAATCAATTCCATTATTGGGCAGAAAGATGAAAAAATAAAGAAAGAAAAATCTAAGGAGGCATGAAGACAACCACTAATAATTCACTACAAACAAAATATGGATCCAGTCAACATAAAGAACCATTTTCTTAAAAGGTTTTTTACTTCTTAAAGAAGCGACCACACAATCACAGTAAACCAGATGCTTAAAAGATTTTTATTTCTCGAACAGATAACCAGACGATCACAGTAAAAAGAAGCAAAATGCTAAACATCAAAACCAAGCAACCAAATTTCTGTAGGTTATACTGCTCCATTCTCTTTGTTTCTCGGCTACAACAATAAATAACTATCTGCTACACTTTATATTTTCCATTAACAATCAAGTATATCCTGGTACCTTTGATTTTTCAGAAGCATTGTGTGTCTCAGGTTAAATCAAAGTACAAGATTGATAACCAATGTATATATATATATATATATATATATATATATATATATATATATATATATATATATATATACATTAGCAGAGAAGCACATATGCATGCACAACAAATGAGAGAGAAAGATTAAGTCTAGAAGGATAGGTTACCATTCTTCGATCAATCATTGAGCATCCATCAGCACAAAGTAGGGTTGGGAATGTATCAAATCCCTCTGACAGGCACAAAGTCAGTATGAGTCTCATACCTTTCTGACACTCAGGGGTCTCAGCTAGGGATATATCACCCGTAGATTTTGTATATGCACGAAGCAGAATGATCCACCAGAATCCAGAGTCAACTGGAGCAACTCTTCCAATGGCACTCTCTCCGAAATCTGCAATAATTGTGTCTGATTTTCGTACAGGATCATGAAGAACTTTGAAGCTAGCTGGCATTGCACCTTCCCCCAGCTTGAATCTATCTATTCTTTTCTCCCACCCTTGAAGTTGTAGAGTTTTCAAGAGAAAGTTCTTAACTATCTCAGGCTCTCCATTCATCAGAAAAGCCAGAGCACTGGGTACAAAATCTCGAACAAAAACCTGAACGGACTCAGAAAATTCCAATCACTGAAATGGTAATGAATCTCAAGTGTTAAAGTAACTATAATTATTATGAATTTTTGTATAATCTCTAGCTTAACAAACAGTTAAAGATACTTTGTCTTCCCATTTTCCCTCACCAACTATTTTCAGTAATCAGATTTCCCTTTTCATATCAAAGTTCCCATGTTTGGCTTGAAGTTTTTCATCTAATCAAAATTATCCAACGTCGATGTTTACTATTAAATGGTGTTTCTCATTTTCAATTAAGTATAGAGACCTTAACCTCAGGTTCAAGCTTTCCATTTATTTTCATGCCGGATGCTTAACTCGTGATCATAATCAACACTAAATCATAGTTTTGAGTTTTATGTATATACATATACAATAACATTTTGCACCACTATCACCAATAAACAGGATCTGAATGAACTTTTTTTTTGGGAAGAATCTGATGGGAACTTTACTTGATCATAGTTCAAAACCTCCTCGGAAGCATGGTCATATGCTGCAATGGTACCGACTGGTTGGCCTCTGAAATACACCAAAGACCTCCTGAGAGCTTCCCATGCTTCAGCCACCATGGGGTGTGGTTCAAATGAGTTTCTTGTTGATGAAGCTGGAGTATCAAAACCCGATCTCGACCTCACACTGGGAGAGTAGGTGTTCTCATAATTTTCATAACCTCCTCTTGTGAGACCAATAGAGAGCTCACTCAGCGACCTCTCATCAAATGATCTTTGCCTCTCGATGTTAAGCCTCGGCTTATTGAGAAGGCGTGAGAGATCATAATCATCCATTTCGGAGATTGAGCACATTGAGCTCACATTTTTAAGTCCAATCTCTTTAGTACCGTCCATTTCTTTCACGTCAATCAGCGGAAATGAAACACAAGGTTTAAAAACAAGAGATCTACAGTTTGAAAAGGAACAGATAAAAGGATTAGAGCTCCAATTGTTTTGGATAAGAAGAAAGCAAAAAACCCTTAATAGCAAAGAAGCATGCTTAATATAGGACACTGAAATGCTAGGAAGATGTTTATAAAGCTGATATAAAAAGGAGGTTTGCCCGTTTATCCATTAAACATACCTTTCCTTTCTGTTACAGTGCAGAAAACAAAAACAATATACATACATATATATATATATAAACCTTAATTCTAAATGTGATTACCATGATGGTTCAATGGTAAGAATAAATTTTCCAACAACCAAATTGAATCACACATATATATACAAACACATGGGAATCAACTTACACCGGTGGAAAACTTAAATTAAGTTCCATAAACCTTTCTTGGATTGATATTTCAACAAACTAACAATTAAATTTATACATATGATTGTGCATATAAATTTTCAAATCAATCTAATATTTTTATCATGTCAATCTGAAATGATATCTTCATTAATATATATTCAACAATTGGACAATTTTACATAAAAAACAGTTAATAATTTTCATTTTTATTTAAATTTTAACAAGGTATATGTGAATAAAACGTGAAATTAAACACTTGAATTATTAAAATATTAATCATAAAAAACTTTAATAGAAGTGTATAAAGCTCGATTATTTTTCAACTAATTTAAGTGTACTCCTATATAATACACTTTGAATATATATATATATGGAAATTTTTGTTTAAAATGTATTCTTAATATAATAAGTAATAATCTGTTTTGCATATTTTAAGAAATTTACTGCACAACATTTGACTATAGGAAAAAAATTACCATGGAACAAATTAATCAAGATTAAAAAAAATAGATGAAGCAGATCAAGTTGCATACCAAGAAAAACAAGCAAGATTTTTTTTTCAAACTGCCAATTAAGCCACCTAACGAAATAAACACAGATCTGAAGCTCAGCCAAAAAAATTCATCAAAATAACTCACCCGTAAAAAAAGACAGAAAGAAAGAGCTTTACATAATTGAAAAGCAAACCTCTTAAGCTAGCAAAAATGTCGGAGACAAGGGATTCTCCGGCAACCTCGATTTAGAAAAATAACCGGCGACCAGGCCCGCAAGTGGTCGGTAAGAAAAACACAGAGAGAGAGAGAGAGAGAGAGAGAGACTGGGAGGAAAAAGAAAAAATTTTGTGCGGATATGAAATGTATAGAGTGAAATATTTCACTACATAAATGGTCACTGATATTTAAGTAGATTTTTATTTTTTTCTACTAATATTTCAAAATTAACTATTTAGTCATTAATATTATTGATTTATAATAAATCGATTTATGTCTACTAGTATTTCGATGTGACGCATTAAACGGATTGATGTGACATATTTGGTCACACAGGACAGCCACATTAACCGATTTTTTAAGTCCTTTCTATTTTTAGTCAACACTATATTAAAATAATATGAATTATTATTTTCTGCTACCTTCAATTGAATCTATTCTATCAAACAGATTGATCATCCACACATTTACTCATTAGAAGTTCTAACAAAATCACTCTGAATGTGGAATACATGCACATCAAACTTCAAGGGAAGCAATGGAAGACCTTTAAGTTACCGAGTGACATAGTTGGGTCGCAATGGAGATAGTTTAGATCCTATGCCACATCGACTGCTATCTTCAACGTATGTGCCCATACCAAGTGAAATGTATTAACTCGTTGAGAAAATATATTAACTAATAATTATAAACTTAACCCTTGATTGAGAGAATTTTGTCATTTTATAAGCATTAATCTATGGTGATCTTACATCCAGTCACGTAATTGGGAATTGTTCCCTTATATGCAAATTGTTTTCCTTCCCTCACAATTTAAGGCACGAAAGATCCCATGATGGATATGGGTCAATGATGGATGCATTTAGCTCGAACCCGCCTTCGGCAATGGTTTTCGGCTCATCTAATAACCTATCCATGCACTCTCATGGCTGGTTAGACTCAAGTAGATAGATTTTTTGAGCAATTTGGTGAATCAAATTATTCGTAATTTTCTACAAACAATCACGTCAAAAGTTGGTTAAAAATAGAGCGGTGTCAAATGACTAGTCAACATAGTTATCCCGTGTGCCCAAAGGATGTCACAATAATCGATTTAACTCGTCACATTAATATTTTGTTTTTCTAATAATGGTTATTAACAACGAGTGACTATTTTATTATAAATCAATAGAGTCGGTGATTAAATCATTATTTTTAAATATCAATAGGTAGAGATAAATTTATTCAAACATCAGTGACTATCTAATGTAGTTTACCCATAACAAAAAGAAGGTGGATTAATTTACCGGTAATTGCCGGTAAAAGCACCGACGCAGTAAGTAAACAAAACAGTTTAGACACGCTTTAGTGTCTGGTTTGACAACTAGAACTGAACATTTCAGTTGGATTTAGGTTAGGAGGGTCCAATCCTTAACGTATGGGTTTATGAGTTTTCTAATTTAGTCTGTTAAACTAATCCATTGAGATGTAATTAAAAAAATTAACTTAGTTTCATTGAAATTGTGAAAATTTTAGTGGTTAAACTTTTAAGATTTTAACTATAATTCTTCCATTAATTAAATTTTATAAAATATATATTTAAAATATATTTCCTCACATTTTTACTAATAATAAATTAAAATTAAAAAATTATTATCACAAAAGTCAATAAATGACAATTTTAATAAGATAAATAGAATAATATATTTAATGAGGCGTATGTACAAACATTAAATCAAATCAAAACTTAAAAATTAATTTTTTTTATTAAATTGGGGGTAAGTACAAGGCAATACATATTTAAACATAACTGTCAACTTCTCGACATTGAATGTTTACACCCTTAACATCTATGATGCAAAAATAATAACAATACTTTTACCACGGAGGCCACTTAGTTCGTGCAAAAATAAATAAATAAATACAAGTAAAATAATACTACTATTTATAAGATTTAAGATTTATTTTCGAGTTAATTGCATCACACATCTTTAAACTATGACCTTTATTTTAAATAGGTGTCTAAACTTTTAAACATTCTAATGTCATCTTTAAATTATGACAATAATTCTAAATTTGTCCTTAAACTTTTGAATATTTTAATTTCATCCTCAAATTATAATTATTATTCTAAATTAGTCCTAAACCTTTTAAATCTTCCAATTTCATCCCAAATCCATCCAAATATGTAATTAGTTTCAACCATACTCTAACCTAGGTTTTATTTTTTTTCAAGCATATTATAATATATATTGGCCTAACGATTCTGTTAACATGAGATGCGATTAGCATATACATATAGTTTGGGATGAAATTGAAATGTTCAAAAAATTTGAGGACTAATATAGAATGAAAGATGAAACTAAAATATTCAAAAGTTTTACTAACCTTAGGACATATCCAGGCGGCCACAAGGAATAGCTTTTCTGGGATTAGCTCAAGAATCTCTTCAATTCTGGTTTTTAGTATATATGAATCTGTTTGTTATCAAGGTGTACATCATGGTATATATTATCGATTGGCTACCCCTTCTACTATGGATGACGGTAGTGGATACTTTTCAAAAGAATTACTACAAGTTGCATTGACAGTGCTCACAAATGTACACAAAATTTTATGTTGAGGGAGAGTTTATAAAATTTTAAGAAATGTGTACTTATAAAATTTCAGGTGAGACGAAAACATTTATCAATAAAAATATACATAAAAATCTAAAATCTAAATTATTTTTTGAAAATTTAATGGGACAATTACTCCCACCCTCCCCTTAGTCCATTCCCAAATCGTTGCTTGGATAACAATATAAGAGCCTAGGAAGTTTTACGTGGAACAAAATTAGCATAATTTTTTTTGTTGAATTGATGCATATATTTATACATTCATAGGTCCCACGTGCATGTGAAATGGCTACATTCTGTTTGTACCTAATGATTAGTATGCAACAGGAAGCTATATTGTTGCATCTTCTCCGAGTTATTAGCCAAAAGTTAATTTGTCAGAAAAGCAAGTGTAACAATTCACTTGTACCAACCTGCAACTGTAATTTTTAAGACCAATCATAGGAGACCCCAAGTGTTTTACCACTTCAAGGATATTACATTCAAGATATTTAACTTGAATTACCAACATTTACCTTCCATTCATGCATACATGTTCTGGCAAGTGTTCAACTATTTATTCAAATTGCCTCTTCTCTTCTCATCTGCTTCAGCGAAGTGAAGTGAAAGGCTGCACAAAAGAAGAAAAACAAATGGAACAAACCATATACTTAATAATTTATCACCATACATAAACTATGATAATTTCCATACAAAAATAGGCAAGTTGAAGGAGATATCTAAAACTTACCCTGACTTGAGACCTGTTTCATCCTCCAATGGAGTGCAGCTGCAAACATTATCTGTGACAGGTTCCGATGGCATGCCTTCTTCCCCAACCACAACAACTGCTTTTCCTTTAAACAGTGTCTCCATCTGCAAACCCCCCACAGGTTCCTGTACAGTGTTATGCAAATGGATCATGTAACTGCAATGCTTTAGTCCCACATAGAAAAGGACACCAGTGGATATGTGGATAACCGTGACAATGATCATTAAGTAATATAATTAAATACCTGAAGTTGAAGAGAAGGCTGGTCCAATTTGCTGAGATTGTTGGAGTGCAAAGTACTATATCTTCCCAAAATATTTTTCATACTTGTCATGGAATGATGAATGGAATTACTCAGACAACAGTATTCTTCAATGAAGTCCAAGTAGCCAAGGCCTCTTTACATTGTACAAACAACAAATCTTTTTTTTTTCTTCAAAGGGTTTATTCCTGAAACTGAGAGTTAATGCAATATACCTGGAGCTAGCAAACTCAAATAGCTTCCCAGTAGGCGAGAAAATGATGAGAGCAACTTCAGCGCCGCAAAGAACAGAAAGCTCTTGAGCTTTCTTGATAAGCCCTTGCCTTCTCTTGGAGAAATTCACTTCCCTTGCCTTGAGGTTGTCTATCTTCTTGTTTTTTATCTTCTCACTTGCCATTTTTATTATCTATTTCCTCCATTGTTCAAGAGAAACAATAATACTTGTATTATATATCGTTAGCACATAAAATGACTCGAAAAAGGAGAGAAAAGAAGTGTGTTTTTCTTTATTTTTGTTTCGTGCTCTGTTCAATGGTAATTTTAAGATAAAACCCTAGTGGAGCTGTGGACGAAGACCATGTTCAGATCCAGATGTTTGGAACAAAAGAAACAAGAACCCACAAATCTTAGCTCATTAACATGCAAAAGGAAGCACTCCAAGGTCTAAGATTTCTTGGTTTATTTTCATGTCTTACCTTGTTAAGGAAACTGGTATTTTCGGTTCAAGGGCTGCAGGTTCCGTCTGGTAAAAGAAACCAAAAGCCTCCCAATTACGGAAAAGCTTTGAGTGACTGTGGGGTGGGAAAGATTTAACTATAACTTAAGAGAGACTCAATCCATTAACATCCTGTAAAAAGTTGAAAGTGAAGGTTGGGGTGGGAATATAAGAAGACCAAACTAATTAACTTCATTTCAATCTTTTTTTTTTAAATATCAATAAACCTTTTTCTTTGTTTTATTTAGGGTAAATTCTCTATTTGATAGTCATCTATTCCTAAATTTTTTTGTTTTGATCCCTCAACTGTATTTTTAAATTAAATCTAACATTATGTTTTGTTTATATTTTGATCACTAATCGTTAAGATTGACTAATTTAATGAAAATGATAATATAGCATGATATCATAGCAATTTTAGTCCTCAAAACTGACACATTCTATCAAATTGATCATAATTAAAATTAATATAATAAATTCCTAACATTTAATTTAATAATAATTTGAAATAATTGAATAATTTATTAAAACTTAATAATAAACTAATAATAAATTATTAGACATGCTTAAATAATAAATCCACATTTCTTTTATTTATATATATATATACACAATTTTTACCATCTTCAACCGTCCCCCTCTATCGTCCCAAAATAATCCTCATAAAATATTTTAATTTTCCTTGTAATGCATGAATCAACTGACTTGAGTGGTTAAAATGATAAATATTATCTTTTGAGGTCACAAATTTGAGTTGATGTTTGTAGGGTGTATAAGCGTTCATTGCTAAAAGATTAAGTGTTTCAAACACATACCACCTTATAATCATCTAATACTACTAAAACAAATTCCTTTTTATTTCATCCTCCTTCGTGGATTTTTTATTTTTTGATTTTGGACGAAATTGATACCCATTGATTTTCTTCTTTCAGAATCAATATAATATCGTAATTATATCAATAATTTTAAAAAATAATTGACTAATTAAAACATAACACATGAATAGTGAGTCGAATAAATGGTTTACACTTGAATTTATTAATATGTGTTCAAATCCTATATCATTTATAATGAAAATATTTAAACTATTTTTCACCTAAATAGAAACTCATTAATTAATGACACCAATTTGATTATAACTTTTAAGAAGTGTTTACAGTGATGGACTGAGGAACGGTTGAGGGCGGTTACATCATAAAAAGTTCAATTTTATTTATGTATTTTGATATTTTTTTATTAATATATTTTATTTACTCTTAAAATTTTATAAATTTATCTCTCTTAAAATATTATAAATTCGCTCTTAGCATTAAATCATGGGTCCATCTTTATTCATTTGATATTAAATAATTTTACATATATTTAAATCTTTTAAAAAATAATTAATACAACCCTTGAATTTAACCCAATACTATTTATAAAGATGATAATCGATGTTTTAAAGAATAATTCCACCATATGTGATAAAGATTAAGGGTGTACATTATCGGATATCGGATATTATCCGATCCGAATTTTCGGATATCCGAAAATTTCGGATACCTAAAGTAATGATCCGTATTCGATCCGAAAAAATCGGATATCCAAAATTTCGGATCGGATATCCAAATATCCGAATCCGATTTTTTTTCTTTTTTGCAAAATTTTCAAAAAAATAAATTAACAGAAATGAAAATGTTCATATTTACTTGTTTTCCAAAGAAATTTAGTATAACCGTACAAGTGGATTTGGATTTGGTTTCGTAAAGCAGAGACGTGATGGACAATGGAGAAAAGTAGGAGAAGGAAGAAAAGGGGTGGATAACACTTCAATACAAGGGGTCTGTCATGACCAGGGCCAAAACAGCATCAACCACAGGGTGGGGCAGTGAGTTTGGCTGACTTGATGAAGTTGAAAGGGCAAAGAACATGAGAAGTGGCCAACAAAGAGACACACCACTCTGGAGGAAAATAAGAAAAAACAAGTTAATTTTGACGAATTCAATTTTCTTCCCCGTGCGTTAACAAATTTTCAAAATTAAAACTAGTAGAGCATTTACTTAGAAATAGATTCTTCACGGCTTCTCATCTCAGAAACTCAAATGTGATCAAATTAAATTCTCGTTGCACCTGCGGAAGAGGATGCTTCTGACTCGCTCACCTGTAGCTTGTGGTTATCGCCAACAATAAGGGGACGCTGGTTCACTCCCAAAAAGAACACACACTCACGACAATTTGCAATGCAGACTCGTTTTGCAACTATAATCACATGAACTCGTTCACAATGTTCAACTCTTACTGCCTGCAATGAAGAAAAATCATATTACATTCATCCATCAATTGAGAGCAGGTTATTACTTGAACTCAAAATGAATTGATAGTTAACAGGGTGTAATCATCATGATTAATGATTTACAATGAACTGTTATAAAATATGTAAAAGGAATTGATGGGGAGAGCATATAAACTGCTCCCATAAGAGAAGAATTATTGCAAGCAAGTAGAGAATATTAGAGGCAAAACCATAACTTCAAATAGTATCGAGATTTATGAGCATATCATCTAAGCACGAAAACATCTGCAATTGGTATAACAATCTTAGCAATAGTAACTGATTGTGCACGTGTGTGGCCATATTTCAGTTCATACAAATTCTTTTTGTGATTTTGGCATTCCAGGAAATGGAGCAGGGACGAAGAAAGGATTTTCTCTGAAGCATCTGTTGAGTATTGTATACAAAATAAAAACACAATAACAAACTTCAGACGATAGAATTTCAGACAGACAAAACCCTTTACTTTCACTCAATGACATTCTAATCATAAAAAAATCATAGATCACGGACATTCTGATAGAAACAAAGCAAATTCTTTTCGGATATGAAGAAAAAACAGAGAGGAATGGATATAAACTTGAAGAAAATAGCCCTAATTCTTTTTCGTGTTTTCGGATAATCCGAAAATGGTTTTTTATCGATCCGTATCCGATCCGATAATCCGAAAAAAATTTCAGATACCCGATCAGAACTATCCGAAAATTGAAAAACGGATCGGATATCCGAATTTTCTGATCGGATCAACGGATCGAATCAAGTTTTTTTGCACACCCCTAATATAGATTATATAAAACAGATACAAGGAATAATCTTGTATAACCATTTACGCGGAAGATCTTTGTTAATTGTTATGCCTCGTAGACTATTCAAAGTGGGACACTATATCTTGACTTTCTTTTGCTATGAATAGAATTTAATTTTTTTAGGATTCTACGAATTAAAATGATTTTAATAGTTAAAAAATATTATTATTTTTTAAAGATTTTGAATTTAAACACGATATCAATAAGAGTATTTGAGTCTTCATTATCAAATGATTGAGAGTCCTTAAAAATATACTATATTATAATCACGTCGTATTAATAAAAAAGACTGATTCTTTAATATTTATTTGATAGGCAAAATAAATATGAAAATATTGTCAATTTAATAGTTAACCATTTTTTGTGAAAATAAATTCTCTAATATATATAGTTTGTCTAATAATTATATTAAAATTTTAATTTTATTTTATTTATGATAATTATCGAAATATATTTAATAATTAGTTTAATCATATTAAATATTATAAAATTTATTATGAAACGATATTTCTAATTTAATTTATTTGATTTACAATATTAAAATTCCAGGAAATTTTTAATTTTAAAAATAATCATAAAGTATACTTTGATATTTTAATTTTTTATTAGTGATATTTTAGTTTTTTATTAGTGATATTTTAAATCTGATTCCCTAATATTAGTATAAAAATATTAAAAAGCCACAAAGGGTTTATATGGTTATTCCCCCTTGGGTACAGGAAGAGTGGAAACCAGAATCAGAATGAAAGAGCAATGTCAAACATATATTAAAACTAATTCGTGTGAGATAAGTAGAAGAAACCTCTTCCTCAACTAAATCATAATATCTTTGATTCCTTCTTTCACACACACACAAAAAAAATTTGAAATGTTCCGCTCTTGACGACTTCACCCAGCAGCGGCAAGCACGTCCATACTTTGGCCTTTGAATTGATCATTTTTAGGGTGATTCTTTAATAACCCACTTCTTGTTTTTGCTCTTCCTTTATTGGCTTTTAGGGTTATAGTTTAAAGGGCTTTACTTTAATGCTTTCGGGTTCCGATGCTCCAGGCTTTTAATTTGGATAGAAGGTGACCTGCAATTTGATGCTGAAGGGAAACGAGTCTGGCAAATTAGAGGTTTTGTCCAATTTTATTTTCTATGGATCGGTTGTGCTGCTTTAGTTCATCTCAGGTAAAGCACGTTTTTATCTTTAAAGTTTTTCACTGGGATCCCATATTTTTTGGGTAAATAATACTTAATTAATTATGACGAAGCTCAGTGTTGTTTATGGATTGGTCTGTGGTTAATTTTGAGTTTACTTTAATTGATTTCAATTAAAATTGAATAAATCTACTGCTTATGGAGAAGATTAGGTCATTCATGTTAGGTTTGTTTTGGGGTTACAAGCATTTTTCATAGACTCCCCAGTAACGAGCTTTACTGCATTGAGCCATTTTTTATGTATTTGTTTTTTCACTGTAAGATGAACATTGCTGAACCCTTTTTTAGAAGTAAAAAGGAAAAGAATGTTTAGAACTTGGTAACCAATGCTTTGGATGAGTTGTAAACTTTGGTGGTTAGT